GCTCGGGATTATTGATGACATAAGAGCCGAGTTGTTTAAACCGTTTGCCTTGCGAAATCAATGCAGCTGAGAATGATTATGACATGTCATCTTTGAAAGAGCTGTGACAATGGGGTTCTGTATTAACCATAATGGACCTAGAGTTAGTTCTTAGGCAGCTGTCGTAGCGCCTTTGATCGCTTGCAGTAGAATTCAGGGGTTTCGCCCATCGCTTGCTGAGCCGACTATAAGCCCATCTGACAAGGAGCAGTCGTAATGTTACCAATGGAACTCCTATACGTTTGCTTCCAGAAGAGATAACTTCAGGAAGCTCTGCCTAGCCAATTCGGAAAGCTTATCAGACTGATTTGGAAGCGATCCTAGGCAATCGAGGGAACAATGTCGACTTTAACCAATGTAAACCTCCTACCGTAATGTATCGTTCACCTCCCGGTACTACCGTCAAGTATTTCGTCGTCGCGGTTGTTTTAGTATGAAGCTCTAATTTTCGTTGCAGTTCCGTTTCCGTTCCGCTGAGCGGAAAAGAGCACATCCTATTAAATAGGGTACCTCTTAATGTATACGCCGGTTGTCCGACCCATTATTTTCTATGGGATCACAGTGTACAAAGAGCTGCAACCATATTAATAACGGGCGCCCTGCTCTCTATTCCCAGTAGGGCTCTGGAGACTATTTTTGAATCTTGTTCCTACCGACGTTTACTGTAGATATCAAGCGGCAATATGCAACCAGAGTGAATGCAGCGTAAAAATGGAGAGGCCTTAGTTTCTGGGCGCCATTTCAGCAACCCTACGTTTGCTGGATTACATCAGGCCAAGTTCTGCCTCGAAAATATGTTTCTTACCAGAATACCAGATAGAAGCGATTGGGTAAACTGCTCGGACTTAGATGTAGGGCCTACCGCTACCTTTACGGATGGATCGAAGGTCGACAATGAATTTGCATGCGGAATTTTCTCTAAAGACATCTCGCCAAACCTTAGCAGGTGACCACTGCAGAGTTTTCAGGCCAAATCAACAACAATATGGAGGCCGCTCTATGGCTTAATACTTCTTAATATGGCAACAATCTGTCAGTATTTGCAGTGCAGTGCGGTAACACCTCCCCAAAACTGGCCTCCAAATGCAGACCTACTTTAAACGAGCTTGCCGAGAAAATTACCATTAACGTGGTATGGATATATGGGCACAGTGAAATACTCGGAAACTGCTCGGCAGACCAGCTTGCGGCTGAAATTTATTTGCATTGAATTGACTAACGAACGATTGGCGAAAGAACCATCATTATCCGTTGCTAAACAGATCTGGCCATACATTAATGAGAAAACATTTAAAACCTGGGACCGTAACAGTTACAAATTTTATTGAAAAAAATCGCTCTTTAACGATTGTTTTTTTATTTTTATTTAATTACTTCTTAAATAACCGTTATTTCAAATTTTCTTTTTAAATCCAAAATAACAATTATATTTAATTTTTATCTAATAATTGCAAATAATAGTTAGTTTTGATTTTAAAATTGTATGTCTCAGATAACAGTTATCAAAGACTTTTATTTATAAAAGTCAGAAATAACAATCAGTCACTGACCTTTATTTTTTAAATCATACTTATAAAAGTCATTTGTATAAGCCGTAGTAAACTTTTGTTTCCCAACATCTTCTTAACTGCGAAAAATGTTAATGACTTTTATACGAATGATATAAAAAATAAAAGTCGGTGACTGATTTATATTGATGACTTTTAAAAGTAAAACACACTGACTGACTTTTATTGATGACTTTTATAAATAAAAGTCTTCAATAATTGTTATCTAAGACCTATAATATAAAAATCAAAAATAATTGTTATAAGATTTATAAGATAAAAATCAAAAATAATTGTTATTTTTTTTAATTTTGCATACACATACATACATAAATTGAAAACAAATTTTTTTATTTTTTTCAAATTTGAATCTCGGTGAAAAAAGGAAGCAATTGGCATCACTTAGCTGTAGAACCTTGCCTTCATAGTGAATTTTTCCATGACAGTTTTCATTAATAACTGTTATGTTCGATCCCTGTCCAAAACTCTTATACAAATCAATCGTCCCATAATTAGCATATTTTCCGTTATTATTACAAGGCACTTTCTAATAGGAATGCATGCTAGGCGAATTGGTTACCTTGCTAACGATATCTGCCGTGACTGTAGGGAGGAGGAAGCGGTGAAGAGTGTAGAGGCAAGTTCAAGACTTCCGATTTTGAATAGTGGCATCACAGTGGGAAAAATTGGCCGTGGTGAGTCTCCCTAACGGATTGTGGACACAGTGGCGACCACCTTAAACTAACCTAGTCGGCTGCCTTCGTTCCCGCCAGCAAAGTCCCGTCCGCCTATCTCGTAACGCCGCTTGGGATGCTTCAATGTACATATTCTTCTTTTCTCAGCGACTAGTGTAACTCGCCAAACATCGCTCCGTGAGGGTGTTTTCAGTTAATTTCTCTGGACGTAGATATACGACGTCGTTTTCAGGAGCTGTTCGTCTCTTCACAATTCGGTCAAAATTACTTTGACTACAGTGTTCACTGCTTCCCATTTTTCTGTGACTACCATTATGTGGTCTACTCTATTTTTTTGTCGAAACAATGTCGTTCCATAACGCGCGAGCTCGTTAGCCTTACAATTTCCTTGAACGCCGCACTGCTCAGGTACCTAGACAACGTGTGTGGTGAGTGGCACAACCATCTCGCTAAGAGATCGCCGGAATTGAGCAACCAGTTGTATATATCATGAATAGCAGTCGTACCCAGTGGTGCAGATTTGAAATATGTAACCATAAGTTCCGCCTGAAAAACACTGTAGTAGTAAAGAAGGCGCAAGCAGAACGATATGCCTACTAGTTCCGAATAAACCCCAACATCAAATCTTTTGTCGAGTTTGGATCTGTTAGTATGAAAGTTGATTGATCTCTTTTTCCTCACTGTGTCCATTGACCATTCCTGCATTGAGGGAAGAGGGGTCCTCAACCTGGTTTTAGAAGTGCGGGTGGGTGGTATATAGTCGGTTGTAGGAAACTGAGTAAGATCGTTCAAAATTTTACAGCGACCGATATGTGGGTGCGTCTATTTCTTGGTCACGTAAAGCCAAATGACGGTATTACATGTAAACTTTCTTGCATACAGATCCATCGGGAGAAATGGTAGTAGCATGTTCAGAGCTTTAGTGGTTGTTTTCCTCCTGCTATCCTTCGAAAAGCCAGGCGCTGAACCTTGTCCATTTTCTTAGTACATTTTTACTGAGAGCATTCCACCAAACTACTATACTGCGGTGTAGATAAATGTTACAATTTTGGGCTCCAGACCCCAGTTATTGCCAATAGCTCTGCTGCAGGAGTATACAGCAGTTGTAGGTTTGCGAACCTGTTCATCGATGTTAGGATCCCACTTTAATTTTTTACCCAGAATTAGACCTACATATTAAACCTGATCAGTTCTCTGCAGTGTTGCACCATTTAAGTTGATATTTCCTAAAGATGGACAGATGTATTTTCTTGTAAATAGTATCAGTTCTGATATTATGGATTTTACTCCCAAGCCACCCGTTGCTGCATATCACGTATGTTTGTTTAGTAGGCCTTGTATGGAACTAGTCAGGATTACTAAATATTTTCCTGTGCCCGTAATGGCAATATCATCGGCCTAGGCTACCACTCTGCCGCTGTTTCTTTCTAGCTCTTTAGGGCAAGCTGTCAACGGCAATATTCCATAGTAGAGGTGAGATCACCCCTCTTTGGGGTTCGCGTACTTTTTGACGGAGGAGTCTCCTAGTTCTGAGTTTATGACTCGATCTAGGAGGAGACTATAAAATATGAAAATAGTAAAAAAATTATGGCTGTTTCTTTTCGACTAGTCAAATCTAGTATCTATGTATCTTGGCTGTATTAGAAATGCAACACTGTTAATTGTTTACTTTTGTTTTAAAATAGCTTTTCTCACGCCGTGAAACCCCTTTTGAAAAGCTTAAGCTTTAATGTAAAACATGGGAAATCACTTTTTAACCCATTTTAAATACATTCTCATACATATTTATGAAGATCTTAAAAATGTAAATTGAATGACAAGTGTGTGAAAAAAATGCTGTGAAAATTCATAGTTCTTTTGTTGTGCACACAAAAGCAGGGAAATGCGCGCACTCTCCACTTCTACTTGCCAGATATAGAGGGCATAACTGCAATTCCTTTTTTCAACTTACTTGATTTTTTTTTTGAATATTTTCGTTATTATTTTTAGTGACTCGTACTTCGCTGATAAATACTGGAAATTGCATTGTGCGAAATGCACACACACACTGTAAGAAGGTATGAGGACAAGCGGCGTTTGTTTTAGGTGGACAGGTAAGGCAAGTTCGGTTGGTGGCGTAAATAATTTGTATACGGTGTGCTAACGCCGGCATTGCTACAATCACAGTCGCAGCTGTATTGTTTGTTGTACTTTGTATGGCGCGAGTAGGAAAATAAAATACTCAACAGTGGAATGACAACATAAACGAGCAAGTAGCAGAAGTTGAAGCGATGATATAATAAACTGGCCGTAAATGGGCCGGCGAGAAGGCAGGTAATACAATCGTGAACTGGGAGTGAGTTTAAGCTACAGGTAAGTAGAGAGAGAAAAAGAGTGTCGCCGAGCAGGAGAGACCAGCTGAGAATAAAGCGAATAAGCTAATAAACTTCAAATTTAGTTGAATGAGCGAGCGCTTTGAACAAATCAGCTGTTTTCATGGCGATCGATCAACTGACGTCCACCTGCGAGCGCCAAGCTGGACTTAGCGCGCTCACCACGCTTAGACGTTTGTTTTTAATATTTTTGCTCAGCACTGTAACTCGTTTTTGGTCGGTGTCTGGCTAGCGTGTTTTTTTCGGTGTCATTGTTTACCGCGAAGCGTGGTGTGTCGAGCCGCCGAAAAACACTGCCAGCCAGCAAGCAACCAGCTTAGTGAAGTGGCTTTTAATATGGCGCTTTGCTTGGTTTTAAGTTTAGTTTGAAAATTAACGGCGCGCATGGCGGACGTTGAGGTGTTTTAAGAAAAAGATTGCACGTGAAAATTTTTGGAAAATTTAAAAGACGTAACTTGAGGTACAAAAATTACAAGTAAAAATTTCTGTAAAGACACGAAAGCAAAATTTATAACACGCTAACGGATATTTTTTTTTAATTAAGTAAAAAAAAAAAATCTTTGTAAAAGGTTCAAATTCCATCACGGTAACTGTAAAAAAATTCGCAAGTTTGTTTAATAATAAAAAATAGCAGTAAAAAATTGTGCGCCTTCGAAAGCTGCTTGAGCTGCATGATAGATAAATAAAATTTTAAATATAATAAATATAACTTTCCTTTTTAGCGCGCAACGTGCCTGAGAAATAAAAATTGTATAACAAAGAAAGGTACATTCGCATTTCCATTTTTCCATACAATCGTGTGTGTCGCTGCTAAAACCAAGTGCATATCTTAGTGGTTCATCGAATTCATTAGCCCACACGTGAGTGATAGCGTTGCACATTCAAAACCATTCAGGCGGTGCAAAAATTTAAATAAAAAACCAAATTAACCCAGAATTGCTTTGGCAAAAGTTTTCAAGCACAAATTTACGCAAAAAGAAAATATTAAAAATTATATTTCTTTACAACAGTAATTCGCAAACACAATTCATTGACAGTGTGGTGTGAAGAAATCTTAATTGCATTACAACGATTTTTATTGTCTTTGCTGTTGTCTCATCCCGCTTGGTTACGACCATAACTAATAAATAGTGGTACATTCAGTCGTCTCGCTATTCATCTTTCCGCAAACGACTACACGCTCCACCTTACCAGCGGCACCACTCTCCAACCACATCACAAAATATGGATGTCGCTTGGCGTTTTCGTATCATGATCTTCACAGCATTGGCCTTGATGCTATTTGGCGATTTTTACGGTTATGGCAGTGTAAGAGGCGTTAAATCGGATACAAATCAAGCAGCTGCAGCAGCGGCCGCCACCACCGGTCCGGGCAAATTCCAGCAAAGCGATGCGGATATTGATATTGGCGAAGGTGAGTCGAGTTGAGTTGAGTCGGGTGTGTTGTGTTTGTTGCAAATTTAATTACCGTTATAGTAATTGATTTAGTTAAATGAAATGCATTTGTTTAGGTTGCAAAAAGAAAAATTATAAAAACTGTGAAAATGCTTACAAAATTAGGAGGAAATAAATTTTTTGCTGGAATATGAGAATTAGTGAGCAATGACTTTTTAAATTTTTATATTTTTCATCAGTCCAAAAAAATGTCGGTGTAGTTAGAAATCCTTTAAAACCTTTTTAATCGCTGTTTTACACAGAACAATTTTAGGACCTGAAATATCGATGCCCAACAATCCTTGTGAACCCCCTAATTATTTAAACGATTTTAAAATATCCGATCACTAATAGTAATAAATTTCTGATATTATTGTATTATTTAGAAGTAAAAATTATTTATTGGATTATATTTTTATAACCAAAAATAAAACTAATTTTCGAGTGTTATTTTTTCACCCTGAAAAAATATTTATTTTGTGAAGTGTCATTTTTTGATCAACTACTTATTAGAAAAGCGGTGTGACATTTTGAGTTTTTCGATCTGTAAAAAAAAAATAAAACTAAAAAATGAATTTTATTTCTGAGAGGTGAAAAATAGCTCAAGGAATTTATTTTTGATAAAAAAAATAAATTTAGAAAATAACTTGGACCGAAAATAATCGTTAACTATCATTATCGTTATTTTGTGATATTTAGTTTTCGGTCAAATTTAATCGTTATTTTGTGATTATTTTTCGATTAAAAATAATAATTATAATTGTTTTGAATATTTATTTTTTTCAATCATTTGTAGTCTTTGGACCATTATGGAGACAGAATTTTTATGACTGATTAAAATCTTTTATAGGCTAAAAAATTAAGTTTCAAAATAACGGTTTAACGATTAAAAAATTTAGGAATAAATAAATATCCAAAAATAACGATTATTCTTGATCTAAAAACTAAAAATCATAATATAACTATTAAAATTTGACCAAAAAAACAGAAATCTAATTGTAAATATTAAATTATAATTTTTATTGTAAAGACATAATCGATAGAGTCCCTAGAAAATATTCTTTAATCATGGAAGCAATGATTTTTTTCTGAAAAAAAAAAAAATAAAAAATTCACAATATAATAACGCCGGATATATTAGTTTTATTTTGGATCCTAAAAATTGTAACACGCTACGTGAATATATTTTCTGAGCGATTTATGAAAATCGAAAAGGACATAAAAAACATGTATGTATATGTATAGTGACGAACAAAAGTATTGGCACAGTAAATTCTTCGCATCATATGAAAAGTTTTCTTTATTTCAACTTATTTTCGATATATTTTTATAAAAATATAATCCAAACTACTCCAAAAACATAAAAATCAAATCTCTTAACTTTGTGCAAGACACAGGAAAATTCAATAAATTTATGTTCATGCTAATATGCAACATTCAATTTAGAGACATTGTAATTATGCAGTTGTATAGTCCATTCAATTTTAGTACAAATAACAAAGTGCAAGTGTAACGTTGCTAGAATATCGTATTGATTTTTGGCCGTACACAAAATAAAATTAATTAAATTTTTGAAATGGGTGGCAACCCGCCTCAAAAATATTTTCGACAGTGAATTTTCTTAATCGTCTTTAATTTTACACACATATTGTAGTATTTGATTTATTTTATCAACTTTTTTGAATAGAATTCTTTAAATAGGTGCCAACCCTCCAAAAAAATATTTTCGGCTGTAATGCTTCTTAAACCTCTTTCTCTTGACGGCCATATTGTAATATGTTTTTACTTTATCTTATCAATTTACTTAAACTGAAATTTTCAAACATGTGGCAACTTTATATATTTTTCTATATTTCAAGTAACACCCTATATCAATACATCGGAGAAAACTGCATTCAATTCTATGCATTACTGTTTGAGTGATGCGCATACAAATATACAGACAGACGAAAATTCTAAAAATTCTTAAAATTTCTGATTTGGTTTCTGTTGCTCTAATAAGGACCCCCATATTAATTTTTCTTTAATATCTATAATATACACACATAGATTATATTAGCTAGCTTGCCCTCACCCGCTTCGCTGAGTGTATGAAATACATGGGTAAAAGTTTCATTATGTTAGGAAGGCGCCACGCCCCCTTTTCTAATAGTCCTATTTTTCCGCATGAGCAAAGGATTGCTACCATGAACACCTCCAGACATATGCGTTATGAAAAATTGGGTTTGTATGAGAGGTGCCACGCCCCCTTTATATATCGGTTAATTTTTAGCCTTTAACAAACCTTGGAAATTGGTGCAATAGGTGTCCGAAACAAGAAATTGGTGCAGCACTTTTTGAGTTTTTGTCTAGAATACTTTTTACTAGAATGCCATTAAGGGCCGTTTGCACCATGTCTAGTTAACGCTAACTGGAGGTACATCCTTCAGTTAAGCACGTTAACTGCTTTATCGATCACATGTTATATGATGGGTGTCGATAACGTCGATAAAGATGTTTAACTGGGAGTTAGAATTAACTAGACATGGTGCAAACGGCCCTAAGTGTTTTACTTATTCATATGGATGTATCCTTCTGCGCATATGCGAATGTAAAATTATGCGCTCACGCAAATCTAACGTAAACTTGGCGATGCATTAAAATAGGCTTCTTGACATGGATTTGCTCGAAGGCAGTCACGGCTACCTAGTGACGCAATTTAAGATGAATATTTACTAGTTGGTTCCTGTTGATCAAGCTGTTGTTGTCGTTGTTGAAATGTGTCATTAAAAATGCAATTTCGGAATTTTGTAGAACATGATGTGCAAATGTATGGCGGAAAATGTTGCTGCATTTGCTTTGAATCTGCATACATTTGCACTATTTAGCTTATTTGTAAACAATGACAGGGTTAAAAAAAACACAAAAATAATACAGAAATAAGTTAAGTTTACGTGTTTATTTGCTTCGAAAAATATTTAGAAAATATAAATAAAAAGGTACATATCTTCAAATCGGTGGCCTTTAGTGCATAAAAAAAGTTTTGAATCATCACAAAATAGATCTGCAAAAGGAAACACGCACCTATTTTATGCGCTATCATATAATCAGTGTTGAAAAATCACAAAATTCACGTACTTTGTTGTCGTATGCTTACAATAAACAAACTAGTCAAAAAATATATATCCCATTTTTGTTTTATTTTTAAATGTAAATTATTACTGCTGTGCCATATTCCCCATTTCAATGTCAAATCGCATGAGAGTTGACCTTCACCGTAAGCCGGCGGCAGCGGCGGCAATTTCCTACGCGACGGCAATTATAAACGCAAAATATATAAGTAATGAGCAGAAAAAAACAAAATAAGATTTGCACCCACGCTATAATTGACAAAAAAAGTATGCAAAAGGCAAGGTCTTAAATGCAAAAAGGAAACAAAATACAAAATAAATAAAAAGAAATAAAAATCAAAAATAAAATAAAAATCTGTACAAACATTAAATATCAAAAATCAAATAAGAGTAAATACATACATACATATGCACATTAAGGTGCATCACTCTCCATAAAACAAAACAAAAAATCGGTACGGTTTTCCATCGGAATTATTTTTAAATTTATGTTGTCGTGAGTTTCGCCCGAAAGCAAAATTGCGCGAATTTTTTTCATCCGCCCGTAGTGAATAACCGAAAGTGAAAACTGAACCATTTCGGGCGAAAATTAAACTCATGATAAGGCTGATTAAGATTTATATGCACAGTTTTTAAAAATATTTTATTTCCAGAAATTTCCTCAAATTATAAAAAAGTTTTAGCTTAAAAGATGTGCATACAAATTAAAAAAAAAAACTGTATCAATGGAATTAAATTTTTTAATTATTTTCAAATTTAGTCTAGCGCAGGTAAATCTTTATATTTTCCGAAATATTTTGGCGGATATCCTAACATAAAAAAAAGTTTATAAGCTCGCTGAAAAAATCGCAAATGTTTTGGTGAGTCACCCTAATGTACATGCAATAGAAAAGTCATAAAGCTGGCCAAAATTTGTAGCAATTTTTTTTCCACACACATTGGTAATAACAAAACGGAGACAGCCCACAATTCGTCATTTACGGTTAAATGTGGTTTACTTTATTGCTTCTTATTTTTTTTGCGTCTCAATGTGGCACGTTTCGGAATTTAAAATGCTAACTTTCCATGGAATTTTTATGCAGATCTGACCTTAAAATACACCATATTACGTGATTTTATTTTTAACGTAAGCGAATACAATATTCAAAGAAATTAATATGAAAAAAAGAGAATACACAGTACTAAAGAACTAAAGCTATATAACAACAGTAGTAAGTAACATGATTCATCATCCCACGGTGTGCCTGAATCAAACGTAAATGATCATGTTAGACGATGAAATTACAAACTGTTTGAATCCAAAATCAATCAGATCGAACGGGCGCCTTTTTGAAGAAAAAACATTTTTCTTTATTTTAGTTAAATATGTAGATATAAAAGTTTTACATATTATTGCACTGTGCATACAGCACTTGGCTGGGTAGTGGACGAAACCAACTTTTTGAGTCATAATTAAAAAGGTAATTTCTCCGTTTTCGAAGTAAGCCTCCGAAATCAAGATATTGCCCTTCGAAGTTCGAAATTGGACCTTTGGTAAAAAACTATTTTTAATTATTGTATGTAAACAACTAAAAAAGTAAAAAGTACAGACGTGGTCCGCTTTTTGCTCTTATTTAAAAGGTATATAACTTTTTTGTACTAGCTTATATTACAGGTGCTATAAAGGATCAAAGGCCAGATCTTCGAAAAATTAATAGCCTTATATTTCCAAAAATGTTGAACAAAAAAAAAATGAGATCCTTGTAAAAGCTATATCCCTGTAGATATGCGCTTTTGCTGGGCATGGTTAGTCAGTTTGGTTGTTTCTTGGGCAAAATCACAATCATTTATTTAGGTACAGGATGGTCCAATAAGATCGCAGATTTTCTTT